TACTGATGGAACCCATTGGTGCGTCATATATTTATATCAAATGGCAAGCGTTTTGATGGTTATCATTAACCCTTTAGTTAACTTCAGGCTTCACAGAGGGGAAGGGAAACATCAAAGTGAAAAAAGTAGAGAGTGGGGGGGGGAGCAGAAGAGTGTTTCAAAGATGCAAAAGAGACAGCCGCAAAGGTAGAAAAAAGGTGAGGTGAGTACTGTGGAAGTGGTCGAATATGACATACAGTGGGGTGATGGTAGTTTGAAGTCAGAAGTCAACTGCCAGTTAATAGACTTTTTAAGCGTATGCGTACACATTGCCCAGGGTGCACCACGTGGAGGTAAGTCTATAGCACACCCCTCGTTGCGTCATTGGGAAGCATGTGTCACTTCGGCATAATTATGGGGTATAATAACGATTTTTCTTAATTCAAAAAAGAGTGAAATCGAACTTAAATTTCTTTTTAATTATCCGTTATTTTTTTTCCAAATCAAGACTAAATGAACATAAAACCGTCAATGGACGAACTTTTGCATGCAAAATTTGGCTTGAACAAACATTGAACTAATTGAAACACATTTAAATAAAAATATTATTTGAAAAATTGATGTTTTCAGGAGCAGACTGTTAAAAGTCCTTAATATTGGCAACGGGTTTTGGCTCAAAAGTTTGGGATCAATACCGATTCTCTATAAACAATGGCAAAACTGGTGAACAAAAAAGTTTTTCAAAAGGTTGCATAGATACAACCTCTTAACTTGAATCATACACTGGCTGCATTTTCGAGCACTGAATAGACCAACCTGAATTCAATTTAATTAAATCTATAAGTACTTAAGGTAACGCAAATTTGGCATTTATTTCATATGCAATTTTCCTTTTATGACGATTTAAGCGATAATTAAGGTAAAAGTTCGTCCAATTTTCAAAGAACGATCAAGTTTTGTTGTTTTTTTTGAAAGATCATACTTAGAAATATTGATAATTTCTACTAATGTTGAGATCAGACGGTCTCCTGGTGTTTCCAAAATATAAAATCACCTTTTTCAGCATTCTTTTAATTTGCTACTCGTCATTTTTTTTCATACTGCTTGCGATCAATGCTGAAATAAAACTATACCTATCAGTGTATGATAACGTGAAACCAACGAATTTTGCGCAAATTATGAAATACTATATGCCTTAAATTATTTGACCCAGACTTATTTCTGACAACCCATGCCATACAGCGGTCAATTTCATCATCCGGTTTACTCAATGACTATGGAAATCAAGTGATTCGTTTAAAGCCACTTTATCTCCACTCCCTCTCCCAATTCCCAGACATTTCACCAATATCAAGCATTGAAATGTCTTGGTCAATGTGACCACTTTTGAGTTGCAACCCATATTTCGTTTGCTCTCCTAAGCAATCGTGCTGAGTGATAATAAATTTAAATAGCCTATGGAAATAGGCCACAGCAAGCCTTGTTTACCGCGAGGATTGAATAGAGCCAAACGGAGTGAACGCGATTTAAGAGGGGGTTGCACTATCTTATAATCAGGATTTCTTGCTCAAAAACTAAGGCTCTGTGGTCTTGCAGTGACTTTAATCTTGCTGGAATTAACGCCTTATTTTGGCGTATGGTTCGATATCATTCTATTAGGTTCATTACAGACACAACAGTGATCGATATACTTAACTATACATTTTAATCTATGAATTGTCGAAAACCATCCTAAGCAATGGGGGCGCATATTGATCTCGAACCCCTTTCAAGACTTTTGTTGGACTCATTCTATAACCACACACAGCTCGCTTCCTCTCCTTTAACGCCATGAAAAAGTTACCCCTGGATATAGTGATTAAGCTAAAAAGGGAGAATAGTTTCTTAATTTTAAAAGTTAGAAATCCGATTTCAAATTCTACTTCACAAACATCTCCATTCTCGGTTTGTAGATGTGTCTTTCAAATAAGAGAAATGAAGAAATGAAGCCACTCTACATTTATATGCCAAATCTCCAGAGTTTCAGCTTGATCGTCTCTTCGATCATTAATTTGAAATCCTCAGAAGACCTTAAACATAATCATGAATAACTTCAACATTGTGAATGACTTAAAACAGGCTTAAGTGCGTATTCGTTACCCAATATAACTTTGGAGCATGTCCTGCCTTAAAGGCACCTAGGCTTTATCATCGAGTTCCGACTTCCAGAGAAATATTGGAAAATACTAGTTCTGATTCAAAATAGGTGGGCTTTTGTGGAGTAACATAGTGGGCTTTAGTAGGAAAGCATACACAGAATATAGTAGGGATAGTGAGTAGTTTAAAGACGTATGACGCCAATTCAGTTTTCTAGGCGCATCTTGACAAAAAAATCAAAATATTTGAAGCCATGTACTTCAGTTATTAATGTTCTGTAAATGTCTTTTTTCTCTGCACCGAGAATTCCGTCAAGGGAAAAGTATATTTTTATTTTAGTCAACTATGCAGATTAATCATTGAATTAGAACCGTGTGAGCTCTGTCAAATATCTTCGCTACGCCTGCTCTTGACTGGAAAAAGAGAAAAATTCTTTCAGAACGGGTTTAAATAATTATATTTGAAACCTTTCTATGAAGAAATAGAGTATTGAAGCTATAAAGTGATGAAAGTGATTGAGAATCATATGAAATGGTTAAGAAGATGGGCCATGATTATTTCTATTCTTTTATTTAACCTATAAAATTTAAATACGAGATGGATGGTCAAAAGAGCAATCGAGTCAATGTTATCTATACCAAGGGAAAAGTTAGGAGTAGAAAAATTTTCGTAAAAGGTGAATGTACCAAGGGAATAAACTTGATCACGCAAATACTAACAGCTTTTGGCTTGTTTCTTCTAAACTTTTCTCGCCACTGGTTTAACTTTTTCTTTCATTTTTTTCTTGACTTCTCCTCGGAGTTTTTTAACGTTAAAGAGCTGGAAATATGGCAAATTCGTGGAGGACATTGACTGCGAAGCAACCATTTTATAGAGAGAAAAAATGTATTTTTAATCATATGACTACTTATTATCGAATCTCATTATTTTTGGAGTGGTATGTTTACATTTCTGACATTTTTCTAAACTAAATACTATTGAGTGAAATTGGAAGTTGGGGTGGGCAATAGACTTACCTCCACGTGGTGCACCCTGGGCAATGTATACTCATGCGCCAAAAAGTCTAGTAACTGGCATTTGAGCTAACCCTAACACGGCAAAAAGTCTATAAACCGGCAGTTGACCTCTGACTTCAAACTACCATGACCCCACTGTATGTCATATTTGGGCAACAGACCCATACGGCAAAAAATCTATTAACCGGCAGTTGACTTCAAACTACCATCACCCCACTGTATGTCATATTCGTCTACTTCGACTTCAAACTACCATCACCCCACTGTATGTCATATTCGAGCCCTTCCACAGTACTCGTGTAGCCTTTTCTCTGCCTTTGTGTCTGTCTGTCTGTCTGTCTTTTACATCAGCGAATCCCCTGTCGAATTTTTCTCACTTTAATGTTTCTCCCTTCTGTGAAGCCCGAAGTCAACTAAAGGGCTAATAATAACTAACAACATGCCAGCCATTTGAAATAAATAAATAAATAAATTAGAAGTTAGTGTATTGAGCGTAAATAACAACTAGTACTGAAACATTCACTCTGTAATGATTCGAATTCAGTTTAATTAACGATGCATCGAAGTGCGGAAAAGCTATGAGTTAAGTGTGAATATTCAAAAAAGGTATCATTGGCGAAATATATGTGCAGTACTAGCTTTCTATTTCTGAGATCTTTAATGGAGTTAAAAAATCGTTTCATTGTGTTTTGCATTACGTAGATATAAATAATCTCAAATGCGGGGTGTGCGATAGACTTACCTCCACGTGGTGCACCCTAGTCAACGTACGCTCATACGGCAAAAAGTCAATAGATCGTCAGCTGACTTCTAACTTCAAGCTACCATAACCTCATTGTGTGACATATTCTACCACTTCCACAATACTCACCTTAACTTCTCCATCTCTTTTGCATCCTTGAATCACTTTTCTGTTCCTCCTCTTCTCAAATTTTTCCCACTTTGCTGTTCCACCTCCCCTCTATGAAGCCCGAAGTCAACTAAGGAGCTAATGATAACTATCATAAAGCCTGCCATCTAAAATAAATAAATAAATAATCTCAAATACCCGAGATTTTTTAACATCTGCAGAATTGTAAGAAAATTACCGTCACAAATAATGCATTTTTGTTAAAGAGATCAATATCAACAATGTTCATTATTATACATCGTTTAGTACTAGGCCTAAAACTACTGAAAGTTGGGTAAAATCAAATTTTGCATATTTATATTTTGTGTCACATTGAAAATCATCAACAGGAAGCGTTTTAACATTTCTATATTTTGCTTATTTCGTGAACCAGGCTGTTTCACTAAAGAATGATGTAGCAACATATTTTACATATGAATAGAATGTCAATAGCTGTAAACTTCCAGCTGAAAGGTTTAAGACAGTGAAAGGGTTTTTAAAAGGGTCGACTACTCTATAGATGAAAACTTGACGTTTTTACCATTCATTAGTTATAATTGTCATGAGTGTCGCTATCTCAAGGACGTGATCTATAATTATGATGGAACAAAAATGGATAATTAAACAGAGCTACAAATTAACACTCAGTAAGCATTTTTTTAATTAAAACAAAAGTTCATTTCTTAGCTCTATACATTTAAAAGTCATGAAAGTTAGAACTCGGTATTACCATAATTTCTTTTTATTTCAGTGAAACGATTAATCCTCGTGTAAAGCCTTCTCTACAATCTCTATAATCTCCGGGTCGTCATAAAATTTTGCGATAGACAATACCGTGGCAGTACCATTGGCTTGAGAAGCATTCACATTTGCGCCTGTAGAGTATGAAAAATAACGAATTGCATCAATTATTTACCCAAAGCAATAAAGGTTCGGACAAAATTTGCATTTCCTAAGGCAATTGCTCTCATGAGTAGCGTGTACCCCGTGCTATCGCGTTCGTCTATATCAGCGCCCTTTAAAAGCAGCTGGCGGACGATAAATTCACTCCCTCTGCAAAGAGGAGAGATTATAAGAGGGCTTCCGGCCATATCTTTAATGTTAGGATCAGCTCCGCTATCGAGTAAGATTCTCGTGATTTCTATATTGTCAGCATTAACGGCAATTCGTAACGCTTGATTGAGTTCATCAATTCGATCTTTTGACGGATCACCTTCAGCTAATAATAGAGTCACAATATCAGTATGACCCTAAAAGATTAAAAGGTAAATCTCCTGACTGATTATCAGAAACGAATAACCTTCGCGGTTGCTAATGTAAGCTCGGATCTTCCTTTCACATTCAGTTGGTACATCATGGGTATATTCTCACTTAGGAAGTATTTGACAATTTCAGTGTGACCATGCATAGAAGCGATCATTAATGGGGTATCATAATTACCGTTTCCAACAAAGGCGTGACTTCCTCTTTGCATGAGCAACTTTACACTTTCCAGATGCCCTAAGCGAGTGGCTCTGTGAATGGCGTAATTTCCATTCATATCAAAACGATGCCTTGAAGCACCGAGGAGAAGCAGCAGTTCCATCATTGCTAGATCTCCTCTACCCGTCGCTACTAAAAGTGGTGTTTCACCATCCGCACCTCTGACGGCATTTACACTGGCCTACAAATTATAAAGAATAAATTAGCAGTTATATTTACTAAGAAAGTTAAGGGTTTTTTTAAGAATTCAAAATGTCCACTATAACGTTGCGAAGACAGCTCCATGGAGTGAAAGGGAGAAGATTGTACATAACAATTATTAAAAATTTCGATTCTACCCTCATTTGAATTATTTTTAATTCAATTGTTCAAAGAGAAAGGAAAATAAATTACAAATAACACTAAATAATCGTTTTTTTCAAACTAAATGCAGTTTCATTGATCACGATGCCACCTGCATGAACCAAGTAAGGAAAATTAAATCGCCCTTAAATAATCAACCTTACGTTCAACCTCAATAATAGTAATCAGAAGAGCATATTAAAATGCCAATTTAATCATTACAAATATAAACTTACTCCCATTTGAATAAGCCGTTCCACTTCATAAATATCACTCTTCTCCAATGCGTGAAACAATCGTGCATTTAGTGGCTCAGTCTCCAACTTCTATGGAATTTCAATGCACTCGTATGAGGAAACGCATTACCTGTACATCCATTTTTAGGCATAAAACTGACCAAAGTTCATGCCTGATATGTAGTTGGATTAACAACTTTCAGAACGTCAAATGCATCAAATTCTTTAATTCACCAATAAATAAGTAGAATTTAAATTCGATTTAGTAAGTTTGAAAATCGAAATCTGCAACAAATGTTCATATCCACATTTATTATAGCGTGAGTATTTGGCAGACCATTAAGACAAAATATTTTAATGCATTTATACTACAAATCGTATAAAAACTGAAATTTTTTACCATAGCAACTCAATTGATTACTGTAAGACAAAGTTATAAGCAAATTGATCAACGAGCTTGAATTTCGGTTACAAAGAGAAGCATTGGGTGTTTCTATAGTCTGTTAGCGTAGAGTTCTTGAATATAACATGTGGATTCATATAAGATAATCAAGTTTATTTCCTTAAAAAGCATCTGCCAACTGCGTAATACTATAAACTGTTCCACATGTATCGTGTTCCCATGTTAAAAATGTGAAGTTGATAGTTTCTCTACGACGCAGACTTATATCATCTTTGAGATTTAAAATTGCGCATTTAACAATCGTACAAAGGTACTTACGATCAGTGTTTGTCGATAACATTTTTGCCCAACATCAGACTGACAAATTAAACAGTTACATCTCATAACTAGCAATGGAATAAAATTTGCTAGCAATCACTGACTCATTAAAGCGTATTTTCTACTAAAATATTTATTTATATCAAATGGTAGGCGACTTGATGGTTATCATTAGCCCTTTAGTTGACTTCAGGTTTCATAGAGGGGATGGAAAATGAAATTGTAAAAAGTCGAGAGGGGGGACAGAAGAATGTTTCAAAGATGTTAGAGAAAAACACAAAGGTAGAACAAAGGTGAGGTGAGTACTGTGGAAGTACACAAAGGTAGAACAAAGGTGAGGTGAGTACTGTGGAAGTGGTCGAATATGACATAGAGTGAGACGATGATATTTTGAATTGAGAAGTCAACTGCCAGTTAATAGACTTTTTGCCATACGAATATACGTTGCCCAGGGTGCACCACGTAGAGGTAAGTCTATCGCACACCCCTCTACTAAAATATATGCATCTTGGATTGGATAGGCTATCATTAACTGGGGTATTTCTGTTAACTGGTTTAAAGGAAATTGTCGTGTGACGATAAAATGGATCAAAACTAATTTGAACACATAGACACCTTAAGTGAATATGATTTGCCTTTCTGCAAGAGTTTTCAAATGACTAAATGTAATAAAATAACTATGATAAAACTAAAAGATAGATTATTTTTTTTACTAAGAATCTGCTTCTCTGCGCTAACTCGCATTAGACATATTGTATATTAATATTCCTAATATACATAACGTAGGTCGTAATAATTATGCAAGGAATTCGAAATCCATCGATAATGTACGTCGGTCATCCAAGTGAGGCTCGTGCTACACCCACAAGTCAAATTTTTATCTTATCTATGCTTTTAATCTAATCCTAATAAGAATTTTATTATTTAAAGAAATACACTTATTTAGGCATATAGGCATATCGAATAACTTTTAATCAAACAAAGATAATATATAAACCATGCCAGCTTGTATTCATAGTTTTATTACTTGAAGGTCAAAAACCAGCTGCACTAGTAACACTCTTCCTCTATAATGACTGCCGACCAATCATGAGCGGTCTGAGATCGCACATTGATTGGGGCAATGGATGATTTGGTGACAGCCTGCATATATTGTTCTTTCTGAAACAAAAAAACAACTCTTTTCCATTTTGATGCCTATTATGTCTGCTTCCCGTGAGGAACCGTGCTTTAGAGGAATCGCTAACAGTTGGTGGTAATTCGGTTAAATTGAAAATTCTTGTCTTGGTATAAAGCCCTTTCAATCGATCGATCTCGTTTAGAAGTACAATCAAAATTATGTCAGAGACTGATGTTTCATTTTCCTTTTTTCTACCGATAATGGTAATGAAATATACAGAGGCAATACGTGAACGCTCAAATGAATAGATTTGACCAGTATCCCATTGTTATTCTTGAATTATTTGAAATTCATGATATTAAGCATCTTAAGTAGATGGACAATTATAGGCTTTGATTAGAGAAACCTCAAAACTCAATATTTATGGATAAAAACGTCACCTTTACCCTGTTGGAATGATTTCTTGAACTTTCTTTGACTTTTGAAGGAATAATTGCAGCATTGATTCCCAAAAAGAGTGACTTTAAGTAGTAAAACGATAAGAGAGGTTTTCATTTCTTTATAATTTTACTTAATAAGAAATGCTGCAGGTAAAGACTACTGTAAAATCCCATTTCTATCTTGAAATACTTTACGTCCTATAAGAAAGAATTTTGAATACCATAAAATCAATCCAATTTGACTAAGTAAAAAGGCACGTGATGAGTCATCCTGAGCTAAGCATAGAATGCCATGGTGACTATTCTTAACACTTACCATTTATAATTGAGTATATCACTCACGTGATCAAAAAGTAAAAAGCCCTTTTAAATTAAATGGGCAGGTATGGAAAACGGGAAATAATAAACTATCCAAAATAGAGTAGGTCATGAAGGCGCCGAGGGGTACTTTATGATGGATGTTGCTATTGAGTAATTTTGAGAAATCCACGGAGGGTCATGTAGTCTACCCTGCCTTAATTTTTCTCTTTCTCATTTTCCTCTCTTTTGTTTGCTACTTTTTATTGAATGCATTGAAATGTCATAGGGTACGTATTTTGAATGTGGTTTTGATTTTTTTATATTTTTAGAAAAAGGTGAAAGACAAACAATAGGCTCCTTGAAAAATAAGGATGACTAATGAGCTTGAGTAGCAATGTATTCCTTATTTCCTTAGCAACTTCGGTATAGCGACTAAATTTAGCTTTGATTTGCATGAAAAAAACTTTTAATTCCTAATAATTCAAGTATTGGCAAAGGGATTAATGCCTTTTAATAAACGTGAGGCAAATTTTCAGCTTAATTATGCGTTTTCGATGAAGGAAATTTCAGCTTAACTGATTAAAGCTTTCCCATTAATCAAATTTATGACTTTTGGAAGCGGAGAGAAACCAGTCTGTCACAATATCCAGAGAACTTATTGCTAACTGTTGGTAATAAATTATATTATTGACAACCAGCCCAGCTTTAGGAGGATATGGAGGAGAAGGAAAATGCATATGCCCCGAAGACCTTAAAATGTGGAGTTTAATTACCACGAACCTGGCGACCTAGATTGAGATCTTTAGTGACCTAGCGTCATCTAATAGAACACACTGGCTTGTTGGGGTTGGATTTTATCGTTAATGACCTTGGTTTCTTTACCCTTTTGCCTGTAAGCCTACCACACACACAGCGCTATCAAAGAATTGAAGAAAACCTTGTAACTTTGTTAACCTATATAGAAGCACGTAGCCTATTAAGGAGATTTTAACGATTAGGCTTAGCTAAAAAGTATCACAGTGGCAAACTGATCACTTCCAAGTACACTGTTATCATTTAGTTGCTTCTATCTAATTTATGCAATCTATGGCTTAAATACCTCTTGTTGATTTAGCTTGTTGATAAGATATTATTTATTAACAGCTTCTTTAAATCGCACTCAAACTTGCTCTTATATAAGTTCTTCAAAAAGTCAATTTTCATACTGATTTCGTTACCATTATGATATTTTGTCAAATACTAAATAGTTTTTGTTAATTAACATCAATTGATGGTTTTGGCCAGTTTCTTAGAGCTACACGAGATTGGTACCTAATTAATTCAATTGAAAGAAATTAAATTGACAAAAAATTATTACAATGCAAATTTAGTAAAGAAGACAATTTAGATCATATTTAAAATACTTCATTAATTAGTAATCATTTAATTTGTTATAATTTGTATATAAAAATCATATATTTAAATTTTACTAATTGGCTAATTGTCTTATTGGTTAATTTTAACAAAATCGAGATGGAAAATTGATGGGCTCACTCAAAAATTGCTCGAAACATTGATTATTTGCAAAAAAATGGGCCATAAATCTGTGATAGTGAAAGAGCTCAAAGAAATTCGCAAAAGATTGAGAGCTTTTAGGGTCACGCGTTTTGATTTTCCATTAAAATAGCCGATAGGCTCAATTCAAATAGTATGAAGAAATGCAGAATTAAAATTAAATTTTCTACTGTGTAAAAACACACCTGTGTCGTAATTTCCATTTCCATTTCTCAATCTCCACCTCTAATTTCTCATCTTCTACTTGTCACAATGAAAAATCCTATTATTATGAAAGTTCTTAATTGCCAATCCTGTGCATTTGAACTTTTGTGTTATTTAGTAGTTTGGAAGCAACTGAAATCGTTCGACAAAATCGCAACAAATTTTTAATTTTGGGAAAAATCAACGGAGTGCTAAGAATGTCGCAAATTCAACAAGGGTCTCACGAAGTTTGCTATTTGTGTAAAATCCACAATAATTCTTTTTTCGAAATTTTACTTTCATGAAGCTTTCACCTTGGCAACAGCAAGCACTCATCTGCAATATCCAATGCTAAATGTTCAGTTATTTCATTTGATTAATCCATCTTGAAGCTTTGATACATGGTATTCTCCCACTTATTTCACAAGCCAACTTACATTTTTATCGAAGCGAAGTAAAATTTCTAAATAGTAAATCGAAAAGGCTCATGTAGGAGATGAATCGTTAACATCAAACGAAACAAAATGGTACTATCAATTTATGTCTGCTTCAACCATATTTATATTCACTTTCATTTTAGTGCTGTCTTATTTCATTCTATTTCAGTCTAAAGTAAATTTAACTTTTGTAAATTGACTTGAACACGTCTTGAACAATATTGCTGTGCAAGCTATTCGTAAAATTGAAAAAAAATTCTTTTATAAATATATTAGTCATCCAAAGAGGTATTTGGTAACTGCTATGGATTTTAGAAATATCCCATTCAGAAGGAGCAGAAACTAAAAAGTGGTAAACCGAAATTCACAATTAAAAAATTGACTTTT